CGTCTATACTATGGGAAGGAAAATTGTAAGTTCTACTAGAACCCGAGTGTTGTCTCCAATTTGTCAGAAACACAACAAGAAGCATCCCAAATTGTTACTATTAAGTCGCGTTCAGCTGGGGGAATTGACAAGCTCGCTACAAAATTTTGGTGCGAACCACGCCCCCTGGAAACAGTCTAACATGTAGTGACACCTCCAAGGAGTCAATCATGCGGAGAAAATATGACCTCCCAAAAGTGAGACATTTGCTTTACCCAAGAAATGGCGATGCAAATCCGTCAGTTAATGAAAGTCAAACAACCGTATGCAAATGGTTTCATCAAATAAAGCAACTAGTTGTAAAACTTTTACGGCTTTTTTGCAAGTTACCATACCTTGTTTATTCGTATACGCATAGGAGAGGGTTGCAGTCCAGTCTAGTGCGTCGCATAGTAAAATGACTTTAGAAAGGAATAAATGCGTATCTCTAAACAAGTGTACCGATTTAACATTTTGGGACTTTCCACTTTTACAGATATTCTCCACTAGTTGTAGGAATGTCGATTCTACATACTCCCTTTGGGTACGCTTCAAATATACTAATGATCACTCAGCCTCCACAAAACGATCTATCACCATAGCTGTGGGTGACCGAGCCGAGCGAGTGGGTCAAACTCATTTCCAGTGTGTGTCCCAAATTCCAGAAGTTAACATAGCCTGGCGATTCGACACGCGTCCACGGGGCACGCCCTCTTGCTGACTTATCCACATCCATGAGAAACTGTCCTGAGGTATTAATTCACTAGTCGACATTCTAGGGTGGATGTCCTACTTGCTCATACATAGAATGCCAGGTTTTGGGGATCAACCGATAACGACAGCTCAGTCAGTCGTGCAATTCTCTCTTTCTACTCGGCATGACTTTAGTGGTTGTGAAAAAAAACCTAAATTACTTTTAACACCTATCAAGCACATATCATTTTGCTCTGATAACCGTTCATCCTTCCTCCATTACAAGCAAAGCCGTCTCTTCCAACACATTGCACAAAAGAGACGAATTTCATTTGCAAACATTCATTGATAAACAGAGATACCCTTTTGATGTGGAAGCGCCCCGTGCAATGGTTAAACGCATCGGATAGTGTCAAAACTAAATACTTACAGAGAACAACTAACAAATTAGTGTTATATTTAGGTGACCTGAATTAAGCAGCGATAGTCTGCTGGGAATTAGAAAACTGGTCAACTGGGTGGATATGGCTACACGCAGCTTACTCGGACAATCCTCCCTAAACGGAGTGTAGTAACTGGACTTTGTGACGTTAGTAATGCAAGAGTGTTAGTTTGTGTCCAGTGCTGGCCTTGTGAAATGTAATCAATTGCTTAGAAATGGAAGCCTTATTAAATGAGCTCAACAAAATGACAGAATGCAGTAAATTTGCAATTAAGCAAACGAAATCGGCCATACGCATGCCACTGGCCAAACACAAGGCAAGAGGTGGTCCTAAGAACTTACCTATGGCATGTACCGCGTTCCTAGAGCATAAATTTCCATCAAACCATGAAAATACTCTAATAAAGCCAGGGTGCTGACGCTTTTGTATCGTATAAACGATGTATCTTAACTTTTGAGTGAGGAAGCCAGCCATCACAAGCACATGAGCACGAAAGGCTAATTACAAAGATTCCTGGGTAATGTATAACGACGAGAACATTCAAGTAGGACGGCATTTCACAGTTAACAGACGAACCTCAAAAGCAGCCTCAAGAGCAAAAAAGTTTGTAAACTATTTGTATCATTAACCAAAAAACCAATCAACTACATCCTAAAGCTGCTTTCGCTTTTCATTAAACTGTACAACCAGCTTTTGAACTGCCGTGATTGACCAAAGCAAATACCAGTTGAAAATATTACTTGCACGGTTCATGTCCCGCCATCGTACTGCCAAGTATTCTGTAAATGATGTTACTATAGACGTCGATTCTTAAGTACAAGAAAGTACTCATTCAATTCAACCTTGATCAAAATAAGGCTAGAACATCACCTTCAAGACAATAAAAACCCTACCTTTCATGATCCTGGATCGGTAATCATCTCAATGATGAAACCATATTATCAACAGCCTAGCTCAAAGGTATACTTGCGTAACTTATTCTCCGCCGCATAACTGGAATTCTCCACTTCGAACCGAAATGTTCAGCATTAAATAACCCCAACTTTTGAAGCTAAGCACGTACCAATGAATCGAACGGTCTTGAGTTTTGACTCTAGATTGACTTGATCCTTTTTATGCAGGTGCCAACGAAACTCCTGGAGCAGAGCGTTATTGAGATCCTGACTGAGATCAGGCATCACCGGATTGAGAGTGGCCACAAAACGTGCATAGAAAGGCAGGAGGTCGTAGCGTGTGCGGGGCACCGAGGCTAGTGCGTTGGCCAGACGCCGACGGTTCGGCTTCTTGTTTAGATTTACGCAAAAATCATACGCCGCCTACGAGGTGTGGGATAAGTCAAGCCAGTTAGGCATTAAAGGCGGGGCGGGAGAGGAGAGGAGGGGAAGATGAGGCAATAAACGAACCCTATCAATGAGGTCCCGGTTGACACACTTTGGAAGTTGGGTAAGGAAGGTGTCCATCATCATCTTAGCACTTGGCGGTCCTTCTTCTTCACCTTCATAAGAAGAAAAAGGTAAAGAAAAGGAGTTAGAGCATTCACACATTTTTGAACTCTTGCACACACACGTAATTCGTCTAAGAACCTTACATCACGTGGGATTACATCATGCAAACAGTAACGGGAGTTTGATTTGCTTAAAAATGTGCAATGAACAAATAATTAAAATGGAAGGCTAAATATACTGATCTGGGTTTTACCTCAAAGTGGTGTACGCAACGAAACTGCGTTATCGTAGAGGATAGCAAAATGACACTATTGCACTTTTGATAAGCACAATGCATCGATTTTCGTTTTTTTTAAAAAGGCGAAAAATTTGTCAATCGTCCAAACTAAACCGCCTAAGATGATACCTTAACATGAGCTCAACGCACCCCCACCGAAGGGCACTGAAACGAGGCGTGTTGGAGATTAGTCAGACCCCACACCCCCTCCCAATACCATGCTGGTATCACGTAGTGCCTTTATAGCGTTAGTAATACAAGTCTCATCTTCAAGCTATTCAGATTAGACGAAATGCTGATGCCCCCAGATCACCGCACAAAAATACTTCACTACATTCAAATTTAGTCTCTATATGAGCACAAAGATAGCAAGGATAAAGCAAACCTTAGTTTGAATTTCAATGCAGAATAAAGCCCAAAATATAATACCTTAAGGGCAATTCTCCACCCATATAGTTAATAAGGTTAAAAAAATAATAGATCACAAACTGACGTGGTTCGGGGGAGAACTTGTCCCCAGACTTTTGTCCTGTGAGGTTTGTAGATGAGGCACTACCATTGGCAGAGGCTGACGACAATCCGCCACCCTCCTGACCGATCTCAAGAGTCTTTGGACAAGCAATGTCCTCTTCTGCCTCCTCTTCCACCTGAGCCAGTTCGCTCTCCACCTTTTCCAAGTCGATTTCTGCCCGAACCAGAACATGTAGAGAAAGAGACACATATAATCACAAAAAATAGCAGACCACTATTCGTTTGAAACTGCCAACTGTCGTCAAAATTCGTCCAAGTCAAAGCTATTTGGAAATGGCTTGGACAATTCCTCAATTTTAGCAACATGTTCTT